TTTTTTTTTTTTTTTTTTTTTTTTTTTTTTTGCTTCTATTTTGCTTGATATTCAGAATTTTTTTTCAAATGTTGCGGTATTGATGATGTATTAATGCCTGTCTGTTCTAATGATTATCTGTAAAAATTTTGTATTTTTTTTATTTTGTCGTATTTCTATAATTTACTATGAACATTAATGATGATGGCGATCAGTATGAAGTAATAAAGAGGGATGGAAAAAAAAACAAAGGATAATAAGTACGGCGGATAATGCTTAATTCCTCTGCTGTCGGCATTGTTTTTTGGTTGCTGATCTGTTGATATTACAATGATTAACTGTACTGATATTTGTGATGATAATTCTTGATAAAAGTAGGGATTGTTTTTTTTTTATTTTCATTGCTCATTGCGGATGTCTTTCTTCAGTTTTTTTTTTCTGGCTAATTCTATAACTATTTTTTTTTTTGGAAAATCGAAGCGAGAAGCCACTTATTTGCTTACTACTTTTATAACAATCTATTAATGTGGAAAAAAGGAACAGAAGGAATACCGCTTAACCGGTTGTTGGTTTAGTTACCCGTTTGGTTGTTAAAGGTTGTTATCATTGTCGTCTTTAATCACTTTTGATATGTAAGAGGTTAACCAACTTTTTGAAAGTTCAACGCAAAGAAAAATCTTTTTTTGGTAGCCTTAACATACGGCTAAAAACCAATGACTTAAAAAAAAAGTAAAGAGTGTCGTTGTTAAAATTGTCTTCATGACTCCGTATTTCTTCACTCTTATTTACTGATCTACAAAAAATAAAATTTTTTGTTTTTTCTTTTATGGAGAAAATAAAGTCTACTTTTGCTTTTAAATTGCTCATTTGAAATTGCAAGAGATTTTTTTTTTCTCCATCGACTAGACAAAGTGTACAGCTTCAATTTGTTGGTTTTCACTTGGGTTTTGCAAGAGCATGAAAAATATACCAGAGAAAAAAGGAAGTACTCGGAAGAAGCCTATCATTTAATGTTTACTGCCTAATTGGCTAAAATTAAAACTCACAACTTTTGCTTTTTTCCACCTTGAGTTGTTTTTTTGTTGTAATTGTCGGCTTTTTTCTCATTCTAAGGATTTTCTTTGCCTTAATAAAAACCAAAGAACTAAGTAGTTTTGGTTACAACTAATCTGCGTTTGTATATTGGAAATATCAACTTGTTGGGAATGTTAATTGTGGGGTTGTCTAATGACACAAAAGACAGTTTTCTTTTTCCTTTTTTTCTTATGAAATATTATTGTTATTTGGTGAACAATTTGGAACCGTTTATACACGTTCTTTGGCAGTATTACACAATTACTCTCGTCACTTAAAGGAGAGAGAGTGAAAAATGTTGTTAAATGTTGGTTTGAAACGGGGAACACGCCAATTTTGGACCAAATTTGACATCGACGGTTTATTCTGCGCCCTTTACAATTGTTTCAAATTAAGGGGAACTGTGAGCAGAAGTGGAAAAAAAGAATGAAGAAAAAAATGAAGAATAGATGCGAATGAACAAACTTGGCGACGAAAAGAATTGATATTTTTTAAGTTTTCTGTCTGCTCTTTGTTTGTTGGTTTGTCTGCTTGGCTTCAGTTTTTTAAATGGAAAGCGGAAAAAAAGAAAAAGGAACATTGTCGTACACTTTGTACTACAGGACCACTGAATAATTGAACTTGATCGGATGTTTTTGCTTGCTATCTAAAATGGTTTTCTATAACTGTTTTGTTTTAGGTGCACGTCTAAGTTTTGTGTTTTTATAGGCAGCAAAAACAAAAATAAAAAAGTAAAAGAAAAATAAAGAGTTTGATGAAAAAGTGTTGCGATCAAAACAAGCATAAAAGCTTTTTAGAAAGCAATTTTGGTTTTTTGGTTAGTGTTCTAAATGTCTGTCAAGTTATCTTTGAGGGTTACTTGAATTTATAATACTTCTGTATTTATGATATATTTATGTAATATCTGAATAAGCAAACGGCACAAAAGAACTGGTGAATTGTTTTAAACATGTTATCATCACAGGATTGTCGAAAATAGGAAACGATAAGCTTAGTAAAGCATAGTAATCATATCTGCCAAGGACTTCTACAGAAATTGCTGTATCGAAAAAAAGGAAACCAAACGGAAAATCTCAAACAAATTGCAAAATTTTCAGCATTATTATTGATGGAAAATATTATACAGTCCGGAGGAGAAATAATTTGCTACGATACATTAGAAACATGTAATGTTTCA